CAATTTCATTCTGTGTTCTAGAGTTATGATGTCCTGAACTATAAACATACAAAGAACAAAGTGAAAAAGCAGTGTAAAGTTCAAGATAATTAAGCTTATCAATAAAGCAATACACTGAAACGACTGCAACACTCAAAAAAGTTACTGAGTTTGTTTATTTCAACGAAGAAAACATGAACAAAAACTCTGTCCTGCTGTGGCGAATGAACAACTATTGAAACGAATGAAATACTAATAAATCATATCTTTTATATTTGCCTTAATTTAAGAACAAAAAAAACTGTTAATAATGGCTAATGAGACAAATCATTATTCTCTCTCTCTCTCTCTCTCTCTCTCACACACACACACACACACACACACACTTTCTATCACTTTCTTTTCTTTTTACACACAGAGGCACACACGCACCCACACGTGGGAACGCGTGTGTCTTTTATTTTTCGAAATAATTTGCTTTTATGCGAAGAAAGAATACGTAATCCGACAAGTGTCCAAATGTAGCCATATTTCAGTGTCATTTCGATAAACATATTTAGCCAATTACTTAATTGGAATTAATTATTCATACAGTAAATAAATAGATTTGAATAGGCATGAAGTTGGGTATAAACGTATGGCTATATATAATTACATTTGATAGATAGATAGTATTTGCTTCGAATAAGAAGATGGTTTATAAGGAAATACAAGGAACGAGAAGTCGGTTAAGATTCACAGTGATTCGTTGTGAAATGAAAAAGCCTTACACATATTTTTGTCTGTAGCAATTCATCGTTCATCGTGATTTGGGGCCATCACACAGGATAAGCTTCTGAAGAGATGCTAATGCTTAGTATTTAATCTAAGAGATTAGCGAATTTCAGTCTCTGAACAACAGTCTCTCTCTCTCTCTCACACACACACATACGCACACATATAAACACACGTACACACAAATGCACATACATCAGGAGATAGTTTTACATATGCACATATTTATATTGATATCATTGAGTGCAGATAATAGCCATTTAGTCGCTGCTATTTCTTTTGCCGGGAGATCATTAAAATATAAATGCGTTTTGTTGTTAAGTTGTTGCTTATCTTCATAAAAACTAATGAAGAAAAAAGAATGGTGAAGAATATACAAAAATGTCTCAGGAAATCCAAAGTCTGACAAGTTGTAAAAATGACTCTCAGATAACTGTGAGTATTGTGTCATTCGATAAAAGTTGGTTCCAAACCATAAAAATACGTAAAGCAAAGGCACTGCATACATAATATTGAGATAGATATTACAATGAAAAACGCACTGAAAGTAAATTACGAATAGCGATTTTCCAAGCGTAGCTTAGATGTGGCACAAGGCCGAATGTAGGGGCTCCCAGTCGTAATTGTATTAACGAGACAAGCTTGCTAACCATTACACTACCTCGAGGTGACCAAATTACGAATATATATATGATGATAGTTAAATGATTTTATAGTCTTAGATGATAATACGCCAAGATGCACAACTGAATAAAGTACATTGAAAGTACAGCCCAATGTGTAAATATGTGAACATCAACATGAACTTTGACAAACAGTGACTAGTAAAGACCCCCTCTTTACCAAACCAGCTTTAATGATTGCTATGTACTCTCATCTTTCATTACCTATTTTGAAACAGATGTGCATTCATACGTATTGGTTTATGTGTGTTCATAACAATTCCCCTTAAAAGTGATCGATTTTAAATCTAAAGATTCTGGTGAATACTGTAACAATAAAATGTGAAACTTCTAATTCCACTTTCGAATCAAGGCTACTTCGTTTCGAGTGTGCTTACTGTATGCAATACATGCAGGCCAACATTTATATTACATGAAATTATAAACACGCGTGTAAATGCATTCATATGACGTATGATTAGATGTGGAAGATAAATAATAATATTATGTATGTATGCGTACACGCGAGTATCTTTATATATGCAGGTGTGTAGACTCTAGAGTGGTTTGTGAATAAAATGTGCAAGTGCAAAAATGAGATTATTTTTTTTACATATGCACCTGGCAATTACACATCTAGCTAACAATAGTTGCATTCTTCACTGTGTGCACACTTGTGTGCAATTAAATGAAAAACTATCCAACAATGTAATAATAAACTTATATATGTATTGCATTAGTTTAAATGCAAACAGGTGCAAACAAAAATATTTCTGAAGAGAGGGTGATATTTATATTTATTGTTTATGACATGCAACAAATATGCCTTATATATATATATATATATATATATATATATATATATATATATATATGTGTGTGTGTGTGTATGTATGTATATAACGCCTCTGAGTGTTGACTTCAATGTTCACTTATATATATATATATATATATATATATATATATATATATATATATATATATATATATATATATATATATATATATTACGCTCTGAGTGTTGACTTCAGTGTTCACTTTTATATATATATATATATATATATATATATATATATATATATATATATATATATATATATATAAAATCATCTGAATAATTTAATTCCTTATATGTTTTTGTATTTAGAGATAAAAAAAAGGCATAAACCGAAAGATAGTTTTTCAAATCTCTGAAACTCAACAAGAGACCCTCGAAATAAATAAAATTCGTAGAAAGAAAATCTATGGAAAGAATTGCATTTACACGTGAAATCGAGAAATTTTTTTTTTGCTGATTTTTTTTTTTTAATCGTTTCTTTCTTCATTGTTTGACTTTTTTCTATCATTTCAAAATGCTTATGAGAAAAATGAAAATTTATTTTACTCACACATTGTCTGGTTTTTATCCCTGGCCAACGTCTCACATTTCTCCCATTCCAATTTTGGTGTCCAGGGTGTGGTGACCACGACCTCGCCACCACCGCGAGGGACAATTCCACTGGTGGCTCCTGGAGCATCCGAAGACCTGACATGGGTTCCGGGCTTACCAGGAGGAGCGTTTGAGAAGTTACACTGACACTGGACATGCCTCTGTGTTCCGGCCCCAGCAAAGTGGACAATAATACCGACCCCGATGGCGATGATGATAGCCAACAGGGCCAGCACAAATCCGGTTGTGGTGCGAACGTAGCATCCACCCCACCTGGCGCGACTGCCCATCGAATTGTAATCACTGGTGATATCTGTGAACTCCAATTTCTGGTTACTGGCGAACATTGCAGCTTGCCAGCATCGGGGACAGATGGTTGATGGGAGGAGACGTGCAAGGGGTAGTTAAGAAACAGGCACAGATGGAGGACACAGAACTAGAAGGACAGAGGGAGATATAGTCGGCTGGCTGTGAAAGTTAGCCAACCAGCGGACAGGCAGACAGGCAGGCGGTGGATGGCAGACAGAAGACAGGTTGAATAGAAAGACAATAAAAGGGGAAAAGTTAGAGGAAGGAAAACAAAACCAAAAAAAAACAAGAATGTATGTACGTACACAGGCCCTGGCTCAGGCACAAACAGATAGATAACAAAAAGCTATTCTGAGAAACGAGCAGTCAAAAAAAAATCATAGAAATGGTTCAATAATGGTGTGCAATCAACTGTAAGAAACGAAAAGACGCTTTTCCCCCTTACCGCTACCAAAAACCTTTTTCTTTTTTTTAGTTTACAATATCTTGAACATTTTCTTCTTCTTTCCCTCTTATATATATATATATATATATATATATATACGTGTGTGTGTGTGCGTGCGTGTATGTATGTATGTATAACAATTTTTATAAGGATTGATATTGGTGTTCTGTTTTCATTTTCTTTTAGTTTTGGTTTTATAAATAAATCTTCTATTCTCTTTTTTCTAGTTTTACTTTTCTAAACGCTTTCTCTTTCGCTCAAAAACTCCTCTCTCTCTCTCTCTCTCTCTCTCTCTAAACGTCTCCCTCTTTCTCTCTCTGTCTATCTATCTATCTATCTATCTATCTATCTATCTATCTATCTATCTATCTATCTACTTTTACTTTCTTTTCTAACAACCTCCCTATATTTTTCGCCCGGAATTTATCTGCAAAATTGCCGGTATTGATGAGATTACGCAATCTCAAAATAAAATTCTTAAAATTAAACTAGCTGAAAAAAAAAAAACCTTTTTCTTCTGAATATTTTTTAACGTTAATTTTTTTTTTCTGATTACTCTTTCTAAAACTTCTCTCCCTCCTAAGTTTTTTTTTTTCTCTGCTATTTCTGAAAAAAGTTCTGTAATCCTTGCGTATTGTTACTAAAAACGACGACTACAGTCAAAATCATAAACACATAAGAAGCAGTAGCAGCAGCAGCAGCTAAAAACCCAGCAACAGGAGTCAATGTTTTACCAACAGACATTCGGGATGGATAGAAGAGAAATTGGAGGATGATGGACATTGAGAAAGCAGTGAAAAAGTGAATAGCTAATAAGAAAGGATGAATGACGTCGGCTCTTCGAGTCTTACATTCTAAGCAAATCACCGCATTATCGTCTCTGTGTGTGTGTGTGTGTGTGTGTGTGTGTGTGTGTGTGTGTGTGTGTGTGTGTGTGTGTGCTGACTTTGTTGTCGAGCGCGCGCCTTGCAGACGCACATTTAATAATGTGTGTTTATTATGCAATATTGTACGGATGTCGTGGTTGACAATTTTAGTGTCGTTTTCTTTAGTGCACATGGAATTGTGTCACGTTTGCATGGTTTAAAACGGAAAGCAAGCATGAATATCGGCAGAAGCGAACAGGAGCTAAGACATATATACAAGCATTTATATGCACGTGTGTATAAATATGTATCCTCGTATATTTTTACATAGTAAAAGTATAGAATATCAGTCATAGATTCAGTGCATGCACAACGTAAATGTACCTGTATATGAAACCGAAAGATACAAACAATTATAGAAAGACAGTAGAAAGGGAGACGTGAAATAATTAAGAAAGAAAGAAAGAAAGAAAAAGAAAGAAAGAAAAAGAAAGAAAGAATTATCATTGTGAGAAATAAAAAAAGGATTACTGTTTATGTGCTCCACCTGTTTCCGACGGGTTAGACATTTTTTTTTCTTACATGCCAGAGGGGTAAAGTGAATCTACAAGTCTTACACGCGTAACAGCATTCATACAGAAATATCTGTCTTGTCATCATCAAATACAGCAGCATTTTTCTTTTGTCTATATGTGCATACGAAACCTACGAATGGCACTTCATTCCGTTGTCATAGAGATACCGAGGCCGACAGGTCTTCATCTTGTTTGAGCATCTCTAGATTTGATATAATCTTTGAGCGGCTTAGAGGAATTGCATTATATGAAAACTGCCATATTAAAGTCTTATTTTGTCACGAGAGAATCAGTATCCTTTAAAGTTAATCAGTTACGAGTCTAGGAAAAATATATCAGCTTTTTCTTGCCCACGACATTCATTCGAGTTTGCATTCTTGCAAAATCTGGGCTACTCAAGAGAAAACCTCCAAATGCACGCGCAGAAGAAAATTAAGCAAGAATTAATCTGCGAAGAAATCCATCAATTTTTACTCTATATTCTCGTCACTCTACTTTAAAATCATTTCTTGCTTAACTGTTTTGTGTTTTTTAATTTAAAGGTTTAGTTTTGGCATTATTTTAATACAAAACTGAATTATCAGAATATGAACAATACTAATTTTGTTTTTGACAATTATACCAACAGATTTATTCTCGTTTGTATATAACTTTATTATTTTGTTACAAAGGTAATCTCTCAAAACTGAAGGTTTAAATATTCCCGATTTCTTGTACTGTGAGTATGGATTCCTGCTTACTTGTTTAAAGAAAACAGGTATGTAAATTTTTCCTCATCTGGGAATTAAGGGTTTTATTTGTAAAACTCTCTCTCCCTCTCTCTAATACACACACGCACATTATATATATATATATATATATATATATATGGTGCGATTGATGAATTGTCGTCTAAATTACGCAAAAATTAAAATAACACTGACATCTCAATTTAACGAATACATTTTACCAAAATCACGAAAAGATATCTTGAAATACTAAAGAGTAAATTTATTTATTAAAATCGCCATTCGCTTCAACTACAAACGACTTCGGAATCTCCTGCAACTCTTTTGGACAGTCTCCTTGTTTAAGTTGGTGAATGCTGCCATAATCTTTGGCTTCAGTTAATCTTTGATATTACAAGGAGTTTTGTTAGTTTCTTGCTCAACTGCGCCCCACACATAATAATCAAGGGAGTTACAGTCTGGGGAGTTAGGTAGCCAGATGTAAGGGGTGATTTGGTCGCAGAAATTACTGCGTTCTCCTGCTTGTGTGGCATGGTGCAGAGTCCTGTTGCCAGATAGTCACCCTCTTGACGCAGGGCAGCACTATCTCCTCAATTCACTTGATGTAGGCCCCCGTGTTGAATCTGAGGCCCTGTAGGAAGATGAATGGAAGCATAACGTCGTTATATACCAGTGATCACTCCAAACACCGTGTTGACTGGATACATCATCCAACTCTTTCTGAATCCTTTTCACTGTCGTGAAATTGATACCCAAACATTCTAAAATGTTCATATTTAAGCTTCTGGCGCGAATTCCAAGCAGTACAGCATGTCGCTTTCAAACGTCTGGCGGAATGAAAGGCGTCATGGTGCTCTTTTTCTCACAGACAATGCCCAAATTAACCCCACTATACTATGCAGCCGACAAATAAAATTTAAAAAAAACAAAAAAACAACGCGCTTGCGCGAAATTAAAAATTACAAAACTGCGATAATTTACCCATCGCACCCTATCTATTTTTCTTTCTATCTCTCCCTTCCACTCTCTCTCTCTCATTCTCTCTCTCTCTCTATATATATATATATATATATATATATATATATGCATATATACGATGTCTCTACACACACACACACTCACACACACACACAAACACTCGCATCCACACACACACACTCACACGCACACACACACTCTCACACGCACACACACATGCACAATTAGACAGAGAGAGAGAGAGAGAGAGAGAGCAACAAAGAAAGGTTTGCTGGGAAGGAGAAGGTATAACCTGTCACAATGCATAAACATTCAGAGAATCTTTATGAAACACGTGTCGAAGTGCCACACGTGCTGCTACCTAAATACGCAGTTGATTTGCTTGGGCCACGCATGCGTGCATACCCATGCAAAATACACTCATATGCATAAACATGATTTAAATCTAATAATATATTCTCTCTCAATGTAATATTCTGTGTCAAGTTCATTTTTACACTAACATACAACGATGCTTTCACATTTCTCTCTCTCTCTCTCTTTCTCTCTCTCTCTCTCTTTCTCTCTCTCTGTCTCACTTTCTCTCTTTCTCTCTCACTCTCTCTTTCTCTCCCCCCTCTCTCTCTCCATTTTGCAAACATTTTAACCAAACATTTCCATTTTTCTGTTTCCATATTTGTTCTCTTCCTTTTCTTTTCGAGAATTCTGTCTCCTTCTCCAACTTTTTTCACCTTTGCTTTTTATTTAAACACTTAATTCTTTTTTTTTTCTTTTTTTTGTTGCCGTCAAGACAAAATGAAATACGTACAGTTATAGAAATCAAATATACATTTTGAAAAGGCATGAAACTATTTATGCACAACACAGATAAAAAGAAATGAACATCCTTTTTTTTATATGTATATGTAAGTATATGCTTATGTAAATATATAGAAGGCACGAACAAACGATATCTATATGAATATATGTATATAAGTTCTATGGTAGCAAAACTTATATATCAATAGTCAGTAAAATGAAAACAAATATCCAGACAATTACAATTAGAAAAGCAGACGAGCAAGGGTTTAAAACAAGCTGTGTGTATGTTTGCATGTGTGCGTATATTTGTATGTGTGTGTATGTTTGTATGTGTTTATATGTGTATCCGGAACATTCGCCATAAACATTTTTGCCGTAAGAAAACTCGCCTCAGAAATTTTCGCCGTGGGAAACTTCGCCGTAGGAAACTTCGCCGTATAGGATTTTTGCTCTAAGACAATTTCACCTCATTTTTTTTTTTTTTTTTTTTGATATCTGGAACGTCCCTTTTGGAGTAATGTTCAATTTAGTATGCGAAGTAACTTGTTATCAGTTATGGATGTCTGGAGTTATAGATGTCTTTTTTACAGGGTCAAACATCAGAAAAAAATTAAAAAGTAAACATTTATTTAAAAAATAAAAGAATAAAAATATATCAAATTAACAAAGAAATAATTTAAAATGTGTGTAAATTTCAAGCAATGCTTCGTAAATAACTTCTTTTTTTTGCGTTGGTGAAGCATTTTCCGCTGAAGTCTTGCATTGATATCAATATATATTTTCTTCATTTGTACTGCATCTTCTCGATCTAAAACTTTTTATTTTTTGCTAATGTCTCTTTTTTTTCAAATACGCAATTAGTTTCCACAAATTTGGGTGCATGTTCGTATAACTTCGCTTATTAAAATGTTTAAATCGAACTAACAATAATGTCAGCCAGATATACTCGATAACAAGGTATTTCGCATATTAAGAAAATGAGGCGAAATTGATTACGGCAAAAATCCTATACGGCAAAGTTTTCTACGGCGAAAATTCCTGAGGCGAGTTTACCTACAATAAAAATGTTTACAGTGAATGTTCCTAGAACTGTGTGTATGTATGTTAAGCGTGTGAAAAACAGCCACTTGTGTCAACGAATAAAACCATTCCCGCAAAAATCTTGTGACGGCCAAGAATGAAAGAATTATGTAACAATATCAAAATCAAAACAATGTTTTTCAGAAAACATGTCAACTGAATCTATGTTTTTACATATTTTCTCCACTTGACCAATAATGCAGTTTATTTAGTGCTACTATTAAATATATATATATATATATATATATATATATATATATATATATATATATATATATATATGTGTGTGTGTGTGTGTGTGAGTGTGTGTGTGTGTGCAATTTTAACAAAGTCATTCGGCTTTTCAAAGGTTCATGTTGATTAATATTGCTTTATTTTATTGTTTCTTATCACAAGAAAATGAACAACGAACCGCTGCAATAAGGGGAATAAATACAACAGAATCTGTCGCTATCAGAGCGCAGTGCCCAATCAATCAACTATTTTTTGTATTTACATCAAATTCTCCTCTTGAAACTGATTTACTTTGAGAATAGTAAAACATTATATCTGATACGTTGTAGTGAATATATCGTTTGACTGATAAAATGAACTCGGTTATGTTATCAAATAAATGCATGTGAATTTATCGCTTCAGTATGACATCTCATAAATGATTGGGATGAGAAAATGATCACCACAAATCAATTTATATTCATTGAGGAATAAAAAGAAGAGTAAGTAGAAGTCGTCATCAAAACAGGAAGTCCGCTTAAAAAAAAAAAAATTTGTATTTGCCGTTACAGTGGACTCTACTTTCACTCATAATTCATGAAATAAAATAACTTTTTTTTTCTGAATGCGAATCGAAATTCAGAATCAACATTTAACCAGAAAATATAACTTCACTTTGGCCTTGTGTCGCATTCATATAAATATTTATACCAATAAATACAATTTCAGTTTATTGTCAGCATCAGTAACCTACGACCTGAAATGACTTGTCACATAGAAATGAAAAATTGTCATCAGCTCATGTTTGCCAGTTGAACTATTTCAAAAGGATTCACTCAGATTTGATTTAATACGAGACTCAATGCATTCGAGTTTGTGTTAAATTTAAAGTCGTATAGAATTGTGATATATACGAATATTAATTGATGATATTCTATTTCATCGGAATATTTTTCTTCTCTATATTGTAATTTTCATTTACAAAATCGTCTCACTTGGATGAACATTAAATACCTTCATTTACTGATTTATGAAAAACAAGGGTTTTGGTAAACTGTTCTTTTGCCAACGCTTGAATTTTCATTCTCATACATAGACAATAAGTCTTACCAATTAAACACTACATTTAAAGATTTATAGAAAAAAAAAAGAGCCCCCATGTCTACGTATTGTGTTTAACTATTGGCATCTGTCTGTATCTTCTGTTCAGTATTTGCCAATGTATTTATGAAACTTCTGTGAAAATAGAATTGATTTTTTAAAAATATTAACATACTCAACGCTTAGTCAGTCAGTTAATTATTTAGTCAGAGTCTAAATACTATTTAAATTAATAATTAATGCAATACTTGCAGATTATGTAAATTAACTCTCTCGTGTTTATAAAGGAATCATAATTATGAGATGATAATGGTTTCGTATTTTTATGATTGGGCTTTTAGCAATATTTAAGATTTAATAATTAAAATAGTAAACGTATAAGGATTTCAGAAGCATGCCAAGAAACCATACAAAAAGAGGTACAGTCATCAGAATGTCTTCGTAATGTTCACCAAATATATAAAAGCTGTTCCAATAATTTGGACATATTTTAATGTAAATTAAGTTTTAGCGTCTAATGATTTTTTCTTTTTCTTTCAGATTTGGCGGACATTTGGGTGATATTATTTTTCAGACATAATTGCCATGACTTAAATAACATGTTCCAATAAAGAAATAAATTTTCACCAATAACACTGATTTATTTACTGCTGACTTTGGTCCGTCTTAATGAAACACCCTTATATATAATCCATCTTAATGAAACACCCTTATATATAATCTGTCTTAATGAAACACCCTTATATATAATCCGTCTTAATGAAACACCCTTTAGTTTCCTTGAAAAATTTGAAATATTGTCTGATTTTGGTTTGTTACCAGTTCAATTCTCAATGGTTTAGCATGATCACAATCAACAAATGTTTAGATTTTTAAGTGAAACAGAGAATTCTCTTCTATTTTCTTGGGAAACGAAATAATATAGAATGCATACTGAAGCACGTGGGCGAAATGGTACCGGAAATAATAAAATCTTGGCACTTTGTCATTATCTGATAATTCTAGACTTCGTCACATGGTGAGAAGTACTATAAACACGCACGTTCAATTCTCGCAGTTTTATTTTTCACCTCAGTTTTTTGCTTGCCCACCTGTCATTTGCAAGTAAGTGGGACTCTTGATGCAATTTACTACGAAGTGCATTAGCAGAAAGTTGTTAAAAATATTGTAATGTCAACTAGAAAGGCAATCTTATTTCCTACAGCTAAAATACAATTTAATGATGCGAGTTGCTTCTGGTTTCTTCATGATAGCTTAATAGCCTCAAAAGTAAGAGGCAAACGTTACTGAATATTGCAAACAGTAATTTTCTCCAAAATCTGCAACTGATTATTTATTTAAGTGTTGTAAATTATTATTATTATTATTTAAAATATCTGAATAATTGTCCACTGATTAGATTCAGATATCTGTCCGTCAGCTTAAACTCGACGTATAACGTGAAATGCTAATGATGCAAATTGGAAATTTACATGAAACGTTTTCGTATTCTGCTCCTTATAGTGAGTGTCATTTCATGGTACTCTGGGGACAAGTCAGAGACACAGCAGATTGACTATGACACATATTATTATTAAACGGCAATGTTTTTATATGAGTTGTTACCGTTCGAAATAACATTTCTTTTGCAACAATTTGTTTATGCTTAAAAGAAACAATGACTCGTATTAGAACGCCAACTGTTACGCTCTAATGTGTGCGCGGTCGATTAGAAGTCATAATCTATGTGTTTGAGAAAAGAACAATGCCCAAAAGTTGCTAAAATGCTGAATTCATGTTCCAGCATTGATTATTTTATTATTTTTGCTTATATTTTATATGCAAGAAGGGGTTAAACTCATTGAAAAGAGTTTAGTGATTCTATTCCTGTACCTGTTACATTCTATTTCTACATAGATTAGATATCATGGCAACTCATAAATGTTTAGGATTTTACAAGCCTAAGCTTTCCGTTTTACACCGAGACCTTTAACAAGTAAATCATTATTCAGTGACATAAACTCTTGAATACTGTAAACGAAAGTCAAAAGGCATATATATATATATATATATATATATATATATATATATATATATATATATATAGAGAGAGAGAGAGAGAGAGAGAGAGAGAGACAAAATACAAGCCAAGAAAACAAGGATATCTCACTGGAACTAATGGCAATAACGATAAACAATAGATCAGTTGAAACGGTGCTTTTATTTAAAGAATAATTGTAGGGATGAAAAGAAAGATGCCTTATACACATACACACACACACACACACACATATATATATATATATATGTGTGTGTGTGTGCGTGTGTGCATGTGTGTATTTAATTTTGATTACAAATAACAAATATGGATTAACGTTTCTTTGAAACTCTTAAATTGCGAAAAATTCACTGACAGATAATGAAATTGCAACACCCTGTTTAACTGTGTTGCAATTTAATCAAGATTAAATGCACAAATAATGAAACTGGATTTGGTTTGGTTTGTTTGTTTAACAACATAATAACTTCTCAT